TGCAGTAGTGTTATACATCATTATATAATGCACAAGCCAGAAACATAAACTCCAACATAAACAAAGTGAAATCATATACCTCAACTCTGTAAACCTCCCCCGTCCCACCCCTCGTCTGTCTTTACTTCCACTTCAGAACTTAAAATAACTCTGCAGCTGCTTGGGTTTGGGCAGTTTATCAGTCAGTACCAAATGTTCTGTTTCTCTATTACCCTTTTCTATGACTGATAAGTGTTTGTAAAACAAAACTTATGAAGCTGAGGTGAGCTTGATAGCAGGTGATATCTATTCCATGCTTTTGCTATTTTAGTGATGAATTAATTTTTTTTTTTTCTGGTAACAGTAAGGAAGCAGCTGGCTTCATGTTTCAATACATACCTGACTTTAGGACAATTCGTAGCTCCTTTCAACCAGATCTAATCTACTTGGATTTCAAAGCTAAGAAATGAAGTTATGCAAGTCAGACAAACATTATTTATCTGAAAGAGACAGCTCAGAGTTGTTTTGATTTGAACAGGCATCATGATCATTCATATTTCATTACTATGGACTTCCCCAGGTGAAAATCAGAGCCATAATCAATTGGGGCATAACATATATTGATCAGAAATACAAATACAATAAAATAAAATTATACATGAAAGTCAATAACTTGTATTATCACAAGAATGAATTTATTTGTACATTGAAAATAAATGTATTGTTTACCAGTACGAAATGGGTGAAGATTGGAATGAAATGATAAAGCTTGGCAACAAAATGTGAGAGTGAATTGGCAGTCAGCATAACTTGATTGCGGTATTTAAAAACCCCTTTCACAAAACACTCCATAATGGAATTGAGAGAGCTTTTTGCCATTTCTGTGTGTTGTGAGAAAAAGCCAACGTAATGAGGATGATGAGAGTCCATCTCTCTCCCCACCTTGCCAAGTAAGGTGCTCAGACCCCAGAATCAGCTGTGTTGCAAAGGTACGAGCAAATTTTATCACAGCCCTGGGCCAATTCACACCCTGACCTCCTTAGCCACTGTTGCCCCAAATACCATTACATTTTGAAAAAAATGGCAGAGATACTTCCAGACTTAATTTTTATTAACGTCAGTGCCAAATACACCTCCTGCCTTGCTGCACTGCAGACCTAACTTCTAGAAACTCACAGCTGTTTGGGATATTGCCAATTCTACTGATTGATGAATGGACAGGGGCAGATCAGGGAAAGGTCATCTTTGCAGGTTTGGAATGAACATGTTTGCATGAAAACTTAGACTTCACAACTTCGAACATAATGCCAAAGAAAAGGCTTGCCAAAAACAGCAATTACACTGTGTGGTTCCTTTGCAATAGTCACAACACTCCAAATTTTAAAAGAGAAATGGACCCAGAAGACTGAAACAAAAGGCTCCTTTCGCCCTTTTGTGTGTGTATAGTTTCCTGTACAATAATCACACATATCATCCACACCAATGAGACTAATCTTACTCCATGCTCTGTCATATAAAAAATCTTGGTATTCACTTGGTTTGTACAAGCTATCAACCTGAACCTTATGGCTGTGCCATTGCTATCAAACAAGAATCAAAACGCTTCCACACAGAGACTTGTTAAACAGTCACAGGCTTCAGAAAGACTTCACCACAGGGAATAAAGCATTCAGCCAGGCACTAATGGCTGAAACACATTACAGCAAAATACAAAGGTGGTTTTGTTGAGGAATAGAATAATTGGAAGAAGTGAACAGTTTAACGCTTTGGTGTACATCTAAATGGAATAATTGTAACAATAATGAAGGCTGTTTAGATGATGAACGTTTGTGATTCCCCAAAGGAAACCGACTCAGAATAAACCCGTCAGCAGTGGGGAAAAGTCATCCTGGTTTTGCAATTCCTGACAATTTCCAAGGAAAGAGGTTTTTCAATCTCAGAAATTTTCCAAGCACCAACTTCATTCCTTTCAGGAATTGCTTCCTGCCTCCTTTACTGGAAACATAATTTCTTTATTTTTCCCGGTGCTCCTTGAGTTTATATATTCGGTAATCTGATACATCAAATTATATCTAATCTGATTAGATGTAATCTGATGTATCAGTGACGTGCGATGTGACTGGTGAGGCGCAGACTCCACCAGGGTCAAATGTCCAAATCCAATATAAAAACAATATTTCAATTTTATGGAGCTCAGTACTGCCCCCTATCAAGGTGCTTTTTGTCTCAGCCTGCACATTTTCTACTTCCCAAATTCAATCTCCCTGTCCAGCAAGCAGCACATCAGAGATTAAACACAGTTTTCATTTTTCTTGGCCCTTTGCACAACATTGTTTTGTTATTGATTTAAGGTTCAATAATTACTTGGATGGATGTCGGAAACTATTTTAGTTTCAGCAATAATTGAATCCAAATAATTGTAAATCTTTTACTTGAGGAACAATGTAGTAAATATTTTGATTTGAGATATTTTGTAACTAAAGATCGTCCATAGTAATATGAAACTTATTATTAATCTTAATTACAGTATTTGAAGCACCTGACATGTAATACAATCAGTTAAAAACAAACATTCTGTAACACATCTATATTTAACAATCACAACAAATTTAATATTATACATGTCATATTTCTATAGAAATAAAGCCTCTCAATGGTTCAATAAAAATTGGACTGCGAGTAAATCTACTGCCACACACTGCAGTGTCTTAAACTAATACATTTCATCTGTTTTACTTGATAGAAGTAGTTAGTTTTGAAAATTATTTGCCCCACTTTACATTGTTTTTCATTATCCAGTACACATTATACTCATTTAGTTAAATTGTTCCTTGAAAAGGTCATTCTACTTTGGTGCTTTTTTTATGTCTTGTCCTTTATGCATCTGGTATCCATCAGTTCTCTAATTAACCTTTTCTACAGAAAAGATATAAGCTATCTATTTCTAAAGACATTCAGGAGACACATTCATCGTTAACCTTTCCCTCTGTCTGTTCACTGCTATCATTCCACTTACTATGTGACCCACTGACAAACCCAATCAAAATGTGCTGGAGGAAAGGAGAAGGAAAAAGAGAACAGAGTGGCTCCCATAAAAACTAAGAGACAACGGGATGAGGAGGTTTGTTCCACTGTTTAAACTCAATAAAGCCCAGATGTTGACCCCTGTGAGACACTGTCTGATTACACAAAATGTCCATCAAAGTACAAATGAGCGCCAAACAACAAACTAAATAAAAACCCAGAGACTGATACACTTGTAAATTTAAGTGTAAATCAAATATTTAAAAATATATTCATTATTTTGACTTTATAGAGTTAAAATAACGAATAAAAGCCATTGTAATCTTTTTGATTATGGTTCTAATACCTCTAATTGTAAGTTCAGCCAGTAAATTGTTTCACCTATATCTCTAGAGTAAGAAATTCTACATACTTATGTAAAAATGTTAAACATGTTTTTACTGTAAGCCAAGGTCACAGAACATATTTTGTTTAACCCATCTCACATCGGGTTAGGCTTATTAGTCTGGCTAAATAATAGTTTTTAGAGTGAAACACAACACGAGCTATTTAAGTTTTGAACTCATGCAACCACTCTATCTGAAATATTGTTTCCTACATGCAAGAATAAATGGTGTCTCACTGTGCAAACATTTTAGTTCTCATGAGAGGAACATCAATTTTAATGGTTTACAAATATAGTTTCATGAAGCAACTTCCCAGCCCTTCACTGCCCGTATGTTGTTATACTGAGATTAAATTACTCAAAAGTATGTTTTATTTTGTAATAAGTTACTTTTGAAGACAATAGTATCACTGGATTTATTTGTTAGAAATTTTGGGGGCAAAAAAAATCATCATTTTATATTACCTTCATAACAATAAAATTAATTTAACCTTGTGGTAGTAATGTGAAAGAAATATGTAATCATTCAGTGTACATTCCCAATTGTTTCTCGTAAGACAATATATTCATCCTTATGAGTTTGAAGACAGTTAGCCATCAAAACAAAAAATCTCACATCAAAAAGGAATTTTTTGGTCATTTTGAATTTCATCTAAGGTTTCTTTCATTGAACAAAAAAATTAAATGTATTTCATTGAATTTTATGAAAAATATTTCATTCGCAATGATTTACTCCAAAAGAGAGCGCCATACTGACACTGGTTTATAAAAGGCAAAGCTATGTTTACTGCAGCAGACATTTTTTGCCGTTAGGCCGAATGTAAACATTTTCATTTTGTCATCGTTTGGATGCAGATTAGAAGACATGCTCAGTTAGGCTGAAATGTGGAGGGAAACGGGAAACTCTGAGTGAAACGGGAAACTCTGAGGAGGGACACCAAAATGAGAATTTCAGACAGGAAAAAAACACACAAAAATGGAAACTAAGATTTTTTCTATTCTACAATAACTTATGTTATGCTTTTAATGGGCTGGTTACTTTAATGCTCTTCATTCTTTTATGAAGGGAATGTGTTGCAGCCTTGAACATCTCACAGTGTTTAAGTAAAAACACACGTCTACATTTACTGCCAGAGAACTAGACAATTGAAACCACATGAGATCCGAGATGAAGCCACATATACACACCCTTTAGCAGAAATGCTTGTGATAAATCATAGACACTGTGGAGGATTTCAGTTTAGAATTAGACCTTCAGGAAAAGTCAGTCATCCACGTGTCAGATTCTGTTCTTGTTTTTTTAGTTATTTTTTTTTTCCATCAGGGAATGAATAGTTTGGGCAGAACTAATAGTGTCAATGTGTGTAAAAACTAACAATAACTCACAAATGCAACAACAGTGATTGTTCCTGGATCTGGATACTTGGAGTTTAACAGGAATGTAGTTAAATGTGTTACAGAAAACAAAATTATTTTTCTTTGGCTTTAAAAGCATTCTTGTTCAGACTGTGTATTTTGTGGGGACAAAGACAACCTGTGATTTTTGTACATAACTGCCGAATAGAAATTGTTTTTTATCAGAGAAACCAACAAGGATGAGTTCATTGCTTACTTCTGCAGAGTGAGACTAAGGTTCCCGGTGCAGTTCTTGATTTTGTTTTGGGCCTCAAGGTGGTTCATGCCCTCTGTGGAAACACCGTCGATGGAGAGAACTGTGTCTCCGACTGCAATACCACCTTTGGCTGCTTTCCCACCATCCGACAGCTGTGGAAACACAGAATCCTCAAATTACATTTTACACATCTTTCTCATAATTTCCAAGTAATGTGGCTATTACTGTTGTCACCTGTAAATCTGATCAATTTGTTTTCGACATTAAGGGGAATCAATGATCCATGATGGATATTTAGAATTAGTATTAAAATAAACAATGGAAATAATAATGAAGGTTGGGTTTTTGTTTCACAATGAGGGTTTGGGCGTGTGCGTGCGGGTGTGTGTGGCCAGATGGATGATACATCGCAAGGAACTTTTTCCTTCCCCAACATACACTGTGGGGACAAGCTGCTCGTTATGGGGCCCAAAACCTGGCCTTGGTAAGAAGAAGTGCTGTTTGGACTTTGTGAATTCAGTTTAGTTTAGGTTTGTGTCAGGATCGTGGGTTGTAGTGATGTTTGTTTCTGTTTTGCTTTAGTTTAGTCCTTATTTACTGATTCTAGTTGTGTCTAGTTTTTTTTTTTTTTTTACAGTTTGTCCTCCTGTTGTTTACTCTCCCTCACCCCTGTGCCATTTTCTATTTCTCTATCCCTTCACACCTGCAACCTATTTCTAATTAACCATTTGTTCCTTGTTCAAGTAATCAAGCTCTGCAGTATATATTCAACTCTTTCTCAGACTCTCTGTGCTGGTTTCTCCTTTTAATTCTTGTTAGACTCTATTTTCCTTTTTATGTGCCTAGTGCTTTTGTTGGTTCTTTGTTTAGTTGGTTTTTTATGTGTTGTGTTCTCTCCATGGGCACCTGTTGGCCCATGTTATTTATTTTTTTTTTCCATAAGTCTATGTTCAGATTTTTTTTAATTAAATCTTCAAAGCGACTCACTGCCTCAGCCTCTCTGAATTTGGGTTCTCTTTATGGATGTGGATATATTGGTAATGGATAGGTTTAGGGTGAAGTTCAATGTTAGGCTTTAGAAGTGAGTGAAAAATATTTCACTCACATATTTCACTCACTTTGCATTGAGCACCATTACTTTTGTGAAAAATGAATGGTGCTCAATGCAAAGTCTTTGTGGAGATAGAAAAACATTCTGTATGTCTGTGTGGGAAGTGAGACGTAAATGTCTCAAGCTAATTCAGGATGTCTGTAATTGCAACTGAAGCACCAGCAATTAAACATCTGTGTTTTATAATGTGCCTGCTTGTATAAGAAAATGCCTGAGGCAACAGACATCCTGAATTGTTACTCCACTCTACAAATGAAGCTAAGTAATTAATCACTCATAAAAAGCCATTATGTCAACATTTTTGGAAGAAACAATGTGGGAAAACAAAATTTGATGGCTGTCAGGTTTACAGGCTTAATAAAGTATAAATAAACCTCTCCTATGTTGCAGTCAATGGTTTCAATACATTGAAAATATTTAGACAAACTTTAATTAGTACAATGGTACCTTAGAGATGAATGGCTCATTTAATACTATTCAAATGGAAGTACCACTGTTGTCTTTTAATAATTTATTTTCTTCTGAGCATTGGTCAGAAGACCAAGATCCATACTTACACATGTAAGTATGGATCTACAAATTATAGCTGTGTTGAAAAAAAACATATCATCATCAAGAAAATCAATTGTTGTTGTTAATGATAATGGACTGGAAAAAATAAGGGAAAATGTAAGTTCATCTATAGAGTTAAATAAGAAATTAGGTTCAGTGGTTGCTACAATTTTGGGTCTTTTGTGTTAATTAAGCCTGTTAGAGAAACAGTTTAAGTCACTTCCCAACAGACAGAACTTGAAGTTGCAGCCCTAACCATTCTTGGTCACATTGTTTCCTTACATGTGTCCAAATGTGAATGAATAAATGTTTTTCTTTCAACTCCACAACAAAGGATCACACGTGCTGCTATCGTGAACACACTTGTAAAAATCAACTTTGGTCTAATGGTGCCTATGAAGTCTTAATGTTGAACTTTGTGTTCCTGAAAGAAAACATCTTGATCTGTAGAAAGTCAGGCACTCAAGGGACAGAGTGCATAACCTGTATTACATATAGAAACATTCTTACACACAAACACATAAATCCACACTCACACACATAGAGAAGTAAAGACAGACAGGCATGGCCAATAAAACAAGCTGTGCCGCCGGATTAGTGTAAAGGCTCTGCAGCCCCCAAGCCTTTTATAGTCATATTAGCCCAACACACGCAACATCACTCACCACCAGTCTTAGATTCATAGAGCTAAAAGAACCAAGTAACGAGGGTGCAGACATAACACTGATTAAATTTGTTTGTATTAAAAACAGTGAAAGAGAAGGGAAGAAAAAAGAATGCCACTGGGTACATGTGTGGGCTTTTAATTCAGGACATTTGACCTGTTTCCAGGAGAGTGTTTTAACTAACCACCTCAGGATTATTATGAACCAAGTCACAAAAGGTCCAGTTCAAAGTTTTCCCCTCATAGTGCTCTACCTATGACCAGTATACACAAATGCTTAGTCTATTTTAAGCACTAGTGCTTCACTTTTTTTATTAAAATAAGCTAAAAAAGAGAATTCCAGTCACTGATGGTGGAGAGGAGGCCAGAGAAAGGAATGAGCCGTGAGACATAAGAGGTACTTTGGGTGAAGGAAGCTATATCATAAAATAAGAGGTAATAGCGTAGTAACAGCATAAGCTAACACTGAATCAATGCCATATTTTTAAATTGTATTCACATTAAATCAACAAAGCACCAAGTGTTTGGTTTTTATTTTCAGTGAAAACCCCCACTAACACTCAGGTTTTTTTTGGAAATAATTTGACTAGTTTGGGCCACTTGTGATACCCTACCTTCTTCAAAGCCTTTTTCCAGAATGGATTCAGGTCTGAACTAAGACATGGCCTATCCACAGAAGCATGGAGAATTTAAAAACAATTATTTTCTACTGAAAACAATATTTTTGATCCGAAACTCAGGAATATATTTTTGTCAATGTATATCCTGCTTTGTCTGGACTGTTTGTCAGACAAACAGTTATTATACACTGTAAAAAAATGGTCACGACAGAGTTACACTTGTGAAAGTCACAAAAGTGAAAGAAAGTTACAAATTGTAACTCATTTGTCTTTTGATATCTCATTAATGAGGCAAAATTTCTTCCTACTGTTCTTAATGGATGGATGGATGGATGGATGGATGGATGGATGGATGGATACCACCATTATGTTGATTCTGAAAACTCCCCGACTTCATTGTTTTTTTGTTCAGATACATATGAATACTCATACTGGAACTGTCAAGTTTCTTCTGTTTGATTTTACCATGCAATCCCAACTTGAAAGGAATGGTCTCTTTTGTGAAACATAACTGGGGTTCACTCAAGGAGTTATATTTATTTTTATATGATGGTCATAACTTTCCTCCAATCACACAGGTGAAAACCCTCGAAAGAAACCCTCGAAAGAAACAAAACATCTAATTACATTGTGAAATCAACAAGACAAATCTACTGTGAAAATTCAAAATAAATTTCCACCGATTTATTCCTAAAGTATAATAAATATTAAGTATTTTATAGTAAAATTAAACAATCAACATTTATGTTCTGCTTTAACTAATAAACACCAAGTGTATATAAATATATATACTTTTTTTATGTTAAAACAAACAGTCAGTGTCCATGTGAAACAGTATTAGGAGCTTACCGGCTGTCCTTCACAGTTTTTATCTTTTAGAAATTTGCACAGTTTGCACCTTGCATGCTATCAGCACTGTTTGCCGCACATACTGTGCCACTTTGTCAAACAAGAGTGAGAGGTCAGCCACACCAAAAGTACACTCTTTGATTGCCAGGAGATTGAGTCCACCTGGTTCTCATCTGGAGCAGAAAGAAGCAGCAGAGGGGAGTGGCTTCCTGGCAGTTCACCAGAACAAGAACTCAAAGGTGAAGTTCTGGTCAATAAAATACATTTTTCTGCTATCCATGGATCCATAGGTCAAAGAAATGATCCCCTTTGACCATGCTGTTTTTATCATAATTACACCTGGGGAGATTTTCTTAAAAAAAATAAAATAAAATAAAAAAAACACAAGCCTGTTACTGGCTTCCTGAACTCATCTTGGACAGATCTGTGGTACAATTAGTCTCTCTGGGTTAAGAGGTTTATGTTTATAATGCTGGTGTTTCTTGGCTAATTCCCAGCAAGCTGTGCTTTTAAGTGATGAATGTTTCTGCCTCTTTCTGAAGGCTGATTAATATAGTGACGCACTCCACGAAAGGTTCTCCTGTCAACAAAAGAACACAAAATGTAATTTATGGTTATAATCAATTCATTGGTCAGCTTTCTGATTTAATTTCCCAAATTAAATCAGGACTATTTTTTAGGCTGACCTGTAAAGTTTGTAGATAGGTCAAAAAGCATCTCCTATTTTAAACATCAGGCTATTCTAATTTTGGGCCAAAGAGAATATTTGGTTTGAAAAATAATTAATTGATTGCAGTCAATTAAAATATTTAGACTACAAATAGCATTTTTTTTCTTTCGCACAAACTTTTCCAAAAGGCTCCAATGTTGTTTGGTTTATAGGCAGAATGATGGGTCTTCGTGCCAAGAACAATCCCTGATTTCAAAATACACTAAGTGATAAAAAAGACAAGCAGACTTTCTGTCTCACAACTGTTACAGCTAAACTACTTTATTTCCTAGCAAAAGAAAAAAAACTAAATATTTATAGATGGAGAGGCCCAGAGAGATTAAAAAGATGAAGTAGGGGAAATACAGAGGTGAGTGAGATGGATGCAAGAGGAAAAGAGACGTGGCAGAAAAAATTAAGTGAAAGATTAAAGAGGTGCAGGACACTGAAGCAGAGCAGACAAAATGTCATCTCACATGGATGTATCCATCAATAACATGTTAACAGCGAGGCAATATTTTCCTCACAATTTATCATCCCAAGTAACAAAATGTTCATTTTCAGCTTTCATTGTTCAGTTGAACCCTGAAGCTGTCAAAAAAAAAATGCATTTCAGTTTCATGTTCTGTAAAAGAATAATTGTAAAA